CTAAGTAAATTATAAAGCTCTTTCATATACACATGAGTCTCCCTGGACTTGTTTCTCTAGTCTACCTGGGTTAACAGTATGCTTCTGCTTCTTGTTTCAATTGGCTATGATTGTTGTTTGTGAGCTGTATTTTCTAGAACTGCAACAATGAGAATTCTTTGAGAACTGGACTGAAGGGGAAGTCCTTGAGATAAGACTGACATTTGTTGATACCTGCAGACACTATCTGTTTATATTCACTTTAAACTTTGAGATGTTTTAGAGTGTGGTCTAGCTTATTATTACGAGCTACAGAAGTAGCCCTGGTGGTATAGTAGTTAAATGCTCAGCTGATAACCAAAAGGCTGGCAAGTTCAAACTCACCAACTATTTCATGGATTAGGATGTGGGAGGCTGCAAGATTTATAGCCTTGAAAAGCCTGCAGGGCAGTTGTACTCTGTCATACAGGGTGGCTATGAATTGAAATGAACTCCACAGCTTTGGGGAATTTTTATGGGAGCAATTGGCCAGGTCTCTTTCCTCTAGGTGAGACTGGTGAATTCGAATCAATGACCCTTGGATAGCAGGTGAACGTTTAACCATTGCGCCACTAGAAAATTTTTTAAAACATCACTGCCATCAAGTTCATGTTGACTCATAGCGACCCTGTAGGAAACCCTGTACGTTTCCTAGACTGTAACATTTTTGCGAGAATGGAAAGCCCAGTCTTTCCCCAAAGAGCAGCCATATCTAATACCAACAGCCAAGTGGATGCATGATTCGGAACACCAGAAAGGGGGGTGAACTGGGTATAAAGCTTTGGGATTTATCTGACTATAAAACAAAAAAACAAACTCATTGCCATCATATAGTGCCTAAAGGACAGAGTAGAGCTGCTGCTGTGGGTTTCCAGTGCTGTAAATCTTCACGGGAAGAGAAAGCCTCATCTTTTCTCCCATGGAACAGCTGGTGGGTTCGAACTACCTATGTGAAGTTAGCAGCCCAACATGTAACTCACTATGCCAGTAGGGCGCCTTATGATTCTAATGCCAGTAGCCAATTGGATGTTTGATTTGGAATGAGAATAAGGGGGTGAGCTGGTATAAAGCTTTGGGATTTATCTGACTATAGATAGGCCTATTTGACAGGCCAGGAAAACGTTCAGACTGAGAAAGTGGGGGGCAGGCAGCAGAACCCTGGAAACTCTAATATGGCCATGGCTAGAGGAGTGGAGGCCACAAAGATACTGTGAACTAGTGGACCAAGAGACATGAAACACAGGCAAAAAAAGATCAGTACCCTGGTCACGTAGGAAAGAATACTTCTGAGGGAAAGAAGCCAGCCGCGCCCCATGCCAAGGAGAGGTCAAGGGAGAACGGAATGTCTTCCTTGGTTATCACAAGAAGTCATGAAGAAAAAAGAAAAAGAAGTCATGAAGAAAATAACCTCACCATAATCATCTAGCAAGTGAGTAACTGAAGATTTCTCACATGTACTTGCTGTGATGGATAACATATGTAATTCTTTTATTTGAATTTTTATTAATAATTTCCTAAGTGAATCTATAATTACTTCAGAATAAAACATGTTAAAAAAAACAGCTCCTTAAAAAAAATGAGGAGCTGATACCAAGGACTCAAGTGGAAAGCAAATGTTTTGAGAATGTTGACGGCAACAAATGGACAAATGTGCTTGACACAATGGATGGATGCATGGATTGTGATCAGAGTTGTACGAGCCCCCAATAAAATGATTTTAAAAAACCCAGCTCCTTAATATAATCCTTTTCAAGAATTCTAGATATGCTTATGGTTTGTTTGTTTTTGATCAGAAGCTTCACAATACTGAGAACACAGCTTACATACCTCAACAGCCACAGGAAGCAGGCAAGTTGCGAGTGGATAAAGCAGGCTGTTGTGCCTGGGCGGTACACACAGTTAATGCACTTGACTGCTTGCCTAAAGGTTGGAGGTTTGAGCCCAGAGGTGGATGCCTCAGAAGAAAGGCCTGGTAATCACTTTCTGAAAAACAAGCTACTGAAAACCCTATGGAGGAGAGCTTTATTCTACACACATGGGATCGGCATGAGTCAGAGCTGACCCCACAAGACTGGCTGGTGGTAAGATGGCTGAGTTTAGGAAAGCCCAGGGCAGGGGAAGCCCAGGGCATGTGTTTTTTCTAGAAGCAGTAGTCCCAGCCAGTTCCCACCACATAGACCCATCTTACCTGGTCAGCTGGGTTTTTTGTTTTGTTTTTTCAAGAAAACCAGAAATCTGAATTTTCAAATAAAATATTCCACTGTTAAAATCTAGCCAATGAATTTAAATGATTGTCAAAATATTTTGCACACTTAACTGAAAATATATCAATCGGTCAGAAGTAAAGTCATTTGGTTTTGTCTTTTACTCTTTGTTCTAGAAACATGGTGTTTTAATTTTATCCATCGAGGGAAATTAAATGACGGATAACAAAGACTCATAAACCGGCAGCACACACAGATCTAGGTTCTACCAGTTCTTCTTCCCAAAGTAGCATTTCCTTTCCCCATAATTTTAGTTTGCCTCGCCAAGCCCTGCTGGTGTTGTGAGTTACGTGGTTGGGCTGCTGGCTGCAAGGCTAGTCCGAAGGCACAGCGGCTTTGTGTCTCAGCTGTCTGCTCCTGTAGAGATTTAGTCTTGGACACCCTAAGGAGCAGTCTACTCTATCCAAAAGGATCACTCAAGAGGAATTGGAATTGACTCGATGGCGGTGGATTTGCTTTGGGTTTTGCCTAACAAATGGAAATATACAAGTTAGTTAGACATACAAGTTAATAATCACCATAAACCCAGTGCCACAGAATTGATTCTGATTCATGGGAACCCTATAAGAAGGACAGAACTGAGGTCTTCATGAAAGCAGACTACTATCATACATTCAGGAAAGATGGCATGTTTCACAATTACTCCAGATGTGCTGAGTCTTCTGAAATGTCTTTAAGCAGAGGCACCCAGAAAATAAATTTTTTTTATGAAGAACCAATCATCAATGCCTCACAAACGTGCTTTAATTGTAGAGGACACAGTTATGAGATGTTTACACAAAACTGTAACTTAAGTAAACTGAGCTATATACAGTTTTAAGATAAGGCTATATAGAAAATTTTAAATTCTAGAGAAAATTTAATTCTTATAGAGCTGATAAGACAACTGGACTCTAATGAGCATGATTTTATTTAATTAGAATATACACTATATTCATGCATTCATTCAACATATATTGTGAGCCCACAATTTCCTAAGGAAGGACAGATTGGAAGCTTACAGGCTGGGAGCTATATTTAAACTATTATTTCAAGGAAACCTGAACCCGAGTGGAAGAAGAACCAAGAACAAAAGCCTCAAGGTCTTTGAACTTGGTGGGCCACAGACCATGTCTCCAAGTGCAAGTACCCTGATTTATGTGAACACAAAAGCAGTCAGTCTCTGTGTTCCTCCCCCTTTCAAGTGCATGCACTCCGCTGAAGAGCACCTTAACATTTTACGTTTGACATAAAAGTCAGGTGTCATACAATTCAATAGTTTAAATTTATTTTTTAAAGTTGTGTAATTATCACCACAATCAATTTTGCAATATTATCTTCCTTCTTATACTAATTATTATTAACGCCCCATTTCATCTATCCTCCCCTGCCTTAACCCCAAGAAATTATGACTCTGGTTATTATCTGTTGTTTTACCTATCCTGGATTTCATAAAAAGAAAAACATACAGAGACACACACAAACCCCAATGACAATAACAAAACAAAACAAGGGGGAAAACTTCAATTAAAAAGATAATAGAAAATGATTTTCTATATATCCTTATTTTAAAACTGTATATAATTCCGTTTAGCTGTTACAGAAACTAGAGCAAATTTAAAATGCGTCAAAAGGGAGAACAAATGATAACGTGTTTAATTTGAACCTAATTACATCTGCAGTAGTCCCATTTCCAACGCACTGATAACAGGGCTCTTCACATCCCCTGGTCAACGGTCAGGCGGTAGTCACTAGAGGCTTAATCCAAGTGGGGACCCTGCAAACGGATTTTGGGTTTGCTTTCTGTAAACTGGACACTCAGAATTTAAGCTCTAATCCCCATTCCCTTCGCCCAACTTGGATTTTGTTATTTACGATCCCTGGATCACACAGGTTGGTGTCCTTACTCCTTTCGGATTTAGCTGCTACCTCACTTTGATGGCTTCTTGCTTTCAAGACCCCAGACGCCATTGCAGGCATATCTTAGTGACCTCTTCCCAAGGGCAAGTATCCAGAAAGGGCCAAGTCTTAAGAACTAATTGTTCTTAGATTAGGGCTACGATTAAGTGTGAGCCCAAATGTATTCATATACTATGGTTTATATACACTCCTTAGCTGTAAACTAAACAAAACTCAAACCCACTGCCAAGGAGTGGACCCCATTCAAAATGTCCCAGGGGCAGAGGCAGACTTCCCTACAGGGTTCTAAAGAATGTAAGGCAGCACGCAGCCAGCTACACTTCTCGGCTGACAAGTAGCCAATGATTCACCGACTTTGAGGTTAGCAGCCCAGTGAAGCCAGGCTCCTGTTTTAACTGTAAAATCTTAACAGATATTAGTAATCTTCCCATTTAAGCCACCCCAACTCAATTTCAGACTTGTCACGTTTTATTTTCTTTTGGGTAGTCACAAATGAGTTTATCTGGGAAAGGCATTTATGCAAACAGCGGCCTGGCTCTGCGGTTATTAGTGTACATCACGTTGGTACCAGGGTGGTCATCTGAAGTATGGCTTTGTACAAATTCTAACCCAAATCCAAACCCTACTTTCCCTGCAGCAGTGCCCAGCACATGGTCTCAAGGTGCACTCGATGCCACTAGGCCCTGCTCGGGGGGGGGGATTGGGACTGCATTTCTTTCCCAGTGAAGTGTTATTTATAGCCAGGTCCCGGGGAAGCCAGCCGACAACTGTGCAGCAGCGCGGTGCCAACGCCATGCAAGCAGGTCTCACACCGCTCACCTTCACAGTCAGCCCCAGGCCACTCCCGTATCTCCTGGCCTTGCGCCGGCACCGAGTTTGAGACCCAAAGCCCGGTGCAAAAGGCCACCATTGCTACTGGACTCGCGCACCGCATGGTGAGCCAGCAGTTCCAAACACTTCCGCTCCCCCAGCGCAGACGTACACCCCGCCGCTAGGGCCCGGCGCTCCACGTGACACAGGGAGGCCCAATGAGAGTGCGGAAAGAATCAACGCACTGTTGCTAGGATAGATACGCTGCTGAACTCTGGGTTTCCATTGGCTCGCAAAAAAGGGGGCGGAGCCAAAGAACTCCTTTTTCTCCCTTCTCGTATGGCGTTTGCGCACTATTCTACGCGGGGTGCCAATCCCTGATCCTGAAGAGACGCATTGAAACAATTGGCCTACCGTTCGTAACGGAAGGCGGGACCTTCACCCTGATTGGTGGTGACGCTGCAGGCGGACGCTGACGGAGCGCACGCTGTGGGCGGGCGGGAACGTGAAGTCTCCGCGGTGCCTGATGGGGCTATTCGGGAACCGGTTGCTTTTGCTACTGGGGGACCACTCGTTACTGAGGCTGCCTTCGCCGCTGCTGTCTCTGCTGCCCTATGGCGGCCATCGGCGTTCACTTGGGCTGCACGTCAGCCTGTGTGGCCATCTATAAGGTGAAGGACTTGGGGAGCTGGGCTTAATGCCGGCTACTCAGTATTCAGACTGCGGGTCAACTCCTTCGGTCGTTTCCTGGCTGGGAACGGCGCGCGACGTGTGAGGGGAAGAAGCGAAGGGTCGCGCGGACCAGGCCTTGCCCACCACTGCGGGCAGCTCCGCGCGGACTCGTGACGGCGTTGGCGCGCGGGCCCCTTAAGACGTCAGGGCCGAAGGATGCCCGGAGATGGGCATGGGGTCCCAGTGACGTCGCAGCCGCAAGACGCGCCAGCATGGGCGCCGGGGCCCGGAGGCTTCAGACCATAGGATGCCCGAGCTGTATGCCGGGACACGGGTCTATCTGCGATCCCGAGGCCCCTGGACGGTTGCCAAGCGGGGGGTGGGTTGCGGTGGGGGGCATGCCGGCGATCTGGAACCGGAGTTGTAATAGTGCCGAGAGCCTGACTGAAGCCAGCTAACCAGGAGTGCTGTACCTGACTAGCCCTTTCCTGGAAATGAGGCTGACACTGAGGGGTTTGTAGATGTCTTGTCATCAGTGGGAAGTCAGAAGGAACCATAATGAACTCCCCTGATCCCAGCCCCATGTTTAAGTGCCTGGTGATGTGTAAGCAGAAGCAAAAGGGATTGGTACTACTGAATTTGTAGAAGAGAAGAAAATACATTTATGGGGGAAGAGAGAGAAGTAGAAGAGCTGATGTGATAATAAGCTTGTTGTGTATAAAAAGGCGATTGTTGTACATAATTCAACTATTGGCTTGCAGAGCAGACTAAAAATTGAGACAGTTGTTTATAGATGTAGTCTTGCTATTGAGTATTAGAAATTAATGGTTATTACTGGAAAATTTCAAATATCGGTCACAGACTCATGTCTGATTATGTCTAATAAGACTTTATGTTTCCCTTCCGAATATTTAATTTAGCTGTGTGTTTTTATCCAGGATGGCCGTGCATGTGTGGTTGCAAATGATGCCGGTGACCGAGTCACGCCCGCTGTTGTTGCTTACTCAGAAAACGAGGAGGTACGAGTCCCTTCCTGTTGGCACTTTGAAACGATTAAAAATTGCATGCATTGTAATTATATTACTCCTTTTCAGGTTGTTGGACTGGCAGCGAAACAAAGTAGAATAAGAAATATTTCAAACACAGTAATGAAAGTAAAGCAGATCCTTGGCAGAAGGTAAGGAGTGCAACAAGACTTTTACGTGTGGCATTAACATTGTGTTGATAAGATTTAAGCATAATGTGCCATGAAACGGACCACCACAGTTTGACCTCTCGTTGCATTTCACAACTAAATCATTTCAGAGTACCACCAGGAAACACTATTTATGATGACTCATTTAGGACTTCTCCAGGATGGGATTCACGTGCACATAATTTCTTGCCGACAGATGGGTTAATATTGGTAACCACCAATATTTATTCATTCAGACTTTTTACATAGGGACTATACACATTTATCGTGTTTGACAGATAAAGCTTGGAAGATTTTATGGAAGTTTGAAGACTGCTGTAGGTGGATTTTAGGAAACCTATTACAGTTGTCATAACCTATGTAAAGCTATAAATTTTCTTGTTTAGAGCCTGTGACACTTTCTTGCAACTGACTTTTCCAGTTGCCTTGCAAATTTAATCATTGGCAGAATAGTCTTAAGAATCTGGTTAATCGGTTGTAACTTTCATTAAAAGATTAGACAGGCTTGCATTCCCAGACTTCTGTTTCCTCAAATTATAGATTGCTGTAATAATAGAAGTTTTTATTTTCACTGGAATGGTAATACTTAATACCATGTTTTTAAAATTTCAAAGTGCTTTCACATCTATTACTTAATCTTCGTAACATCCGTGTAAGGTTGGTAGGACAGGTGTTTTTCTGCCCCTTTATAGAGGGCAGAATCAAGGCATGGAGAGGTGGTGGCATTCCTAAATTAGTTTGGGGCTCAACAAAACAATGTTGCAGATCAGGTCTTCCAACCTTCCCTGCTGGGTTCTTTCCTTTGCACTTGGTTCAGTTGGGATATAAACCGAAATTTGCTTGTCTTTATGGTTTTGGAATATTGGGATTATAGCAGAATTTTAATAGTTACTTCTTTTAGACATACAGTTTTATTTGTTTATTTTGTTAATCTGTTTTTTAGTTAAACTGAACTTGATATTCTTTTCCTTAGGCTATGCTCTAAACCCAAAACAATAAAAGTATTTTGGAGAGAATTCACATTTTTGTGGTGATAACGACACTTGCACATCTTTTACTCATTCAGAACACCCTTTCTGAGAATATTGAAATCAATTGGGTATCAAATTTTTCGTATTAGCAAGCTCGTGACAGAAGCCAAGAGTTACAGATAAGCCTTGAAGCTAGATCCACTCTTAAGCAGCCAGCAATATGTTGTTGTTGGTTTGTGTCATGATGCTCTTTTGGGTCATATGGTTAGCATGATGTGGCTGTCTTCTACTATGTTCCATAGACAGCCTTGTGTTCATAAGAACAACTTTAAGCTTTTTCTGGCTCAAAAGTGACCTTTTAATAAAGAAGTGTGCATGGCCACAATGTACACTACCTAGACCAAGGCTAGAGAAGGGTGAGTGCCCTTCAGATACACTGCTGTAACATGGTCCTGCTAGTACTTCCCCAGAGCTAGCTGCCTCTTAGTCCAGGTTATTCCCCAAACTAGTACAGCCTGTTAACCCCTGGTCCAAGATCCATCTTGGTAGACTAATAAAGTTGGGCTTTCTCGGTCTTGGCATAATGCCTATTAAGTCCTCACAGGTAGCGCCATTTAATGTGCTGCCGAAGTTATCCTTGTAACTCTCATTCCCCTGTGGCCTTCCAGCCAGAAGTTCGGTCCTTGGGCTTGGCTTCTCCACAATTAGCCCTGAGAGGGAAGAACCAGCTGGCTCCTGGAAACATATACTGAGTGCACACAGAGCTTCCCTACACCTTCAGATTTGTACCTTGCTGTCCAGGAGCTTTCTCCACCTGACCTTCCCAGTCCACTATGGCCAATGCCAATAGCAGTGCTGGCATCCGATGGTCCAGACAGGAGACACGGACTCTTCTCTCCATATTAGGCGAGGCAGAGTACATTCAGCGTCTTCAGACTGTGCATCATAACGCGGATGTCTATCAGGCTGTGTCCAAGCGGATGCAGCAGGAAGGCTTCCGCCGCACCGAACGCCAGTGCCGCTCCAAGTTTAAAGTTCTGAAGGCCTTGTATCTGAAGGCATATATTGCCCACGCCACAAGTATGGGAGAGCCACCACACTGCCCATTCTACGATACGTTGGATCAGCTTCTCCGAAATCAGATAGTGGCTGACTCAGAGAACTTAATGGAGGATGCTGCTTGGGCCAAGCACTCTGATCAGAATTTAGGGGTCTCTGATCCCTCAGGGCAAGAGGGAACCAGCGTTCTGAAAGCCAAAAGGACTCAGGCAGCAGATCACCAGCATATTTTGGATACAGTTAAAGACTCAGATGAGGATTGTCAGCTGAGACTCATTGACCGGATTCAAGAAACCAGTGACCTTGAGGACTCCTGGGATGGATCCTCGGGTGCAGGTAACTCCTAAGCATGTGAAGGATTGGGGTCCAGGAGCAACTTGGTGCTAAACAGTAGTGTACGCCTTGGGGTCATATCCTTCTATAGTTCTGATGTTCTGCACTGCCCCTCCCCATTTTTTAACATAATGGTGAATTAAAGGGTCTTCCAGGTTTTGAAAAGCTATAAACCTAGCTATGTAAATATTAGAACTCATAAACCTTGGAGACGTTCCCTGTAGCAACTAAAGCAGGTTTGACATTATGGTGGCAGGTACCTAAGGAATCTGACTATAGATTGGGATGTATAGTTACGTGAAGAGGGCTTTAGGTATGCTGAGGGGGAGGTTTGGGAAGTAAAATGTCCAGGTTAAGGAGATGAATTCTTCCCAATCCCTGTTGAAAGAGACCATGCCAGGAACTACCACCATTTTGTGATTGTCTCCCGACTCTGTTGCTGGCTCCAAGCATTCCTTTAGCAGGAATGTTTCCGTTGCAACATTGTTGCTTTGTTTTTCAGGGTGCTCTCAAGGGACCCCCATCTACAGCAGCTCCCACAACCTTTTCAGAGGTGCAGTTGCTCCCAGTCAGAGCAGCCCTATGACCAGACTGGGTCTGTCCGGTGAGCCCAATCCCTGCACCAGCACCAGCCGAAACCCTCCTGGTATAGCCTCCACACCTCAGCCTCAAGTCTCCTCTTCCAGAGTTCATTTTGTTTCTGGTGGAGATAAGCCTTTGACCTGTGAGCCACCTCCAAGGTGGGCAAGGCGACGAAGGCGGTCAGTGGCCAGGACTATTGCCGCTGAGCTGGCAGAAAACAGGAGATTGGCACGAGAACTTTCAAAGCGTGAGGAAGAGAAATTGGACAGGCTGATTGCCATTGGCGAGGAGGCCAGTGCTCAGCAAGACGCTGCCAATGAGCTTCGCAGGGATGCTGTGATCGCAGTCAGACGTTTGGCAACCGCAGTGGAAGAGGCAACTGGTGCTTTTCAGCTAGGCCTTGAAAAATTGCTTCAAAGGTTAATCTCCAATACCAAAAGTTAGGTACTGAAAACAGAAGTGCCTGCTTTCTAACAGAAGTCTCATTCCAACACCTGCCTTCTGGTACTCAGGCTCCTTTATTCTGATGCACCCAGTCCTGGAGGGAAACAAGGGGACAGACCATTGATAGGCAGGCAGACTAGCAGCAAAATACAGGCTAATTCTTTTTACCAAGATTCTCCACTGATTGACAGACCTTCCAGACACCTGAGGGATGGCCTAGTGGAAAAAAGATTGCACAAGTCCAGAGAGCTAGTAAGTCCCAACTTTGTCACTGATTCCCTCTGTAGCAGGAGGTGATACAGTTTGCTTTTCTACAAGGGTTCCCTCATCTGTAAAATGGGGATAGCATCCTGACCTGCCTACCTCACAGGGTTGTTGTGAGGATCACATGGCTAATAGATGTGAAAGGGTTTAAAAGCACTATGTTTAGAAGTTGTTAATGCACATGACCTTGGCTGAGGTAAGGCTAGGGTGAGGCACCTTAGTTTACAGCATAGAGAAGTATGGTTGCACACAGTGACCTCATTGCTTGAACTCTTTCTTGACTAGTATAATTCTCTATTTGATGGCTTCATAGAGTTTGAGATCTTCCTTTTGTTAATCCCTCTATAGTTCATTTGAAGGAGTGGTGGTCACACAGTGGTTAAGCGCTCCACTGCCGACCAAAAGACTGACAGTTCAAATTTACCAGACATCCCAAGGGAAAAAGATGTGGCAATCTACTTCCCTAAAGATTATAGCCATGGAAACCCTGCGGTGGAGTTCTTCTGTGCCCTAAAGGGTTTCTGAATCAGAATGGACTCTGCCAATGGGTTTGGTTTATAGCTTATTTGACCAATGTACAGAATGTATTTGTACCTTTATGTCTTACAATATCACTGCTATGTCTTTGACATGTCTCCTAGTAAGCACTCTTTATACCCAGACTGTTGTTGCCTTTATTTTACTAGTTCTTAGTCTATCATACACAGTATAGAAAAGGGAGTCGCAATAGTGTGTTATGGTTCATATTGGTGAAATGGTGGATGCTTTAAAAACTGGCATGTGTATGTAAATTTTTTGTATATCCTATCATTTGGGTCCCTTTTTATGTACAAGTGTATGTCTTTAAATTTTTGGTTGCCATTTAACTATTATGGAAACAGTCATATCAGTGTCTCGATCAGCTTTAAAATTCATTCTTTGCTGTTAGCTGTTTTTCTGTTCAGTATGTGGTAGAGGGCAAGCATTAGGTAACATCCCTAGTAGGGACCTGTCAAAATCACTTTTTCAGATAGTATAAATGTTCACCAAGTTCATGGTATAGAGAGGGCTTGGAATATTCGAGGAAAATTTCCATAATCTTGGCATTCAAATCTTCTACAAACTTTCTGAAGCTCCCGTGTTTGGTAAACGAGAACAGCTATGTTTCTCCTTTAGCTTTGAGAACACTTGAGGGTGGTGTGGATAGACTACCTGTAGCAGATGGTTCCTTTCAAACACAAGCCCTCCACAAATCCCCTTCCTCCCCGCCACCAGATGGGAAGGTGCTCAGCCACAGGTCCAATTTACTTGAGAAAGAAAGGCATTACTGGGAGTCCTTGAACTCGCTGAAAGCTTTTACTGGTTTACTTTGTGCTTTCAGGAAGTACAAAAGCATTGGGAAAGGGGAAAAGTGGGAATGTTGGGGGAGGTTGTGTGTTTTACCCGTGTGGGTGCTTAACGAATGCTAGCAATAACAAGTAGGTAAAGTCGTCAGGAATCAGTGGGAACACTCGGCACCATGATATGACGGCAGACAGGTCGCTACACCGCTGGAGTGGGTGGTAGTGGCGGGAAGTAGCTGGAATGGTAGACTGCGGTGAAGCCGAATTAGAATTCCAGGTTCAAATCCTGACACTGTTTGTGTCACTGGGTGAGTGACTTAACACTTTTTGTGCCGCAGTGTCTTTATCTCTAAGATGAGGGATTTGTACTAGATTTTCTAGTACCATCCAGCAATTTAGAAAAATCCGGTAAGTAGCAGAACAAGAAATCAGGGCGAGAGAAGTTGACGTGTAATAATTTCAGTCACAGCAGCATATTTGTGTTTGAGATGCTGGAAACACTTCTATATTAAGGAAACATTGTGCCACATTAATATTCATCAGACTCAAGAACTACACACCACCACACCAGGTACAGGTTCCTTGCTTTAAAGGAGCAGTGCTTTCGAAAGGGACTGAAGTGTGGGGATGGGTATATATGAAGGAGTTTCAGGAAAATCGTGGACAAATGGAATGAACAGATAATGGAATTTTTTCCATGAACTCTTTGAAACCCTCTTGTATATATGTTTTTTCTCAATATTTTTAGGCTGTGGTATAGCAAGGTAAGTGTCAATTATAAGTGGATCAGGTTAATGTATAGATGGGTAGGCTTTTCTGGAAAAGCAGAGAAGTACTTGAAGGAAAATTCAGCATGGTCTACATTTATTAATGGGAGCAAAGTGCACAGGCAGGATTGACATGAGGTAAGAAGTGCTTTTTTGAAAACATTTGGAGTTAAGCTTTGGATGTGGTGGTGATGGTGTGAAAATCTAGTGGATGAAGTGATGTGGGAGAGACTAAAGGGAAAGATGCTGAAGCAGTACCTAAAACTAGACTAACAAACTGTTCAGAAGAGGGATGTTGCAATAAGGGAGGCAGTGTGGGCAGTACTAGTTACACATCCTTAGGCAAGTTATTTTACCATTCTGTAACTCAGGTTCCCCTCTCAGAGTGGCTAACTAATAATTGTCTTACCTACCTCACAGGGATGTTGTGAGGGTTCAGTGAACACATGGATGTAAAGACACTTTTTTAAACCTATAAGGCACTTTGATGTAACTAGTAGAGAAGACCCTGTGGCACATTAATGCTGGTGTGTCACGTGTGCAGGTCTTCTGACTGGCAGACGTTTAAGGAGGGAAGAGAGAAAGGATGGCATTGCTATAATGGTACTATGGTAGGATTAAAACTGCCTCCTACTAACAATCATGGTGTAAAGGAGGTGCTGGGTAAACCGACACTCCTCCCATCTTTGTTTTTGTGTTAAGTAATTTAATCCTGGTGTGGAAAAATAAAAGATTTTTTTTTGTATGTAGTGTGGATCTGTCTGCTGCTTTCTGTTGATGTCCACGATCACTTGTCATCTCCATTCTCTGCTTTCCGCTAACGGGTACCCTGTGTCTCGTCCGTGTGTGACTAAGAGCTACCTGTGCATGCTGCCTTCGTAGCAAATTACCTTGTCTCAGTGGTCGATAACCTACACACATCAGGATGTATTATCTTGGTTGACTTTAATTCTATCCTAAAGTAAACAGGATCAGTACTGTGCTGAAATAATAAAAATGATAACGAAATGTTTAAAAAAAATAACAACAAAAAATACTTTGGGCCCACTTCATCCCCTCAACCCCATTCTGGAACTACTTGGCTGGGATGTAATTTAAAGATTACCGGTAGGTTTCGAAAAGAGGAAGAAGGGAGGCTTCTGTGAAAAGAATACTGAAACAAAAAAAAAATACTGAACTGTGATGGTCAGTTCTGCCATTAACTATGACTTTGGGCAAACTACTCACCTGTTTCATCTCCGATTGGTCAGTGATAGAAAAGGAACTGGCCACCGATTGGTCAGTGATAGAAAAGGAACTGCCCGTAGCCAGACAACTGTACATTGAATTAATCAACATTAAGACTTGCCTGTCTCTTTGCTAGCTTAGAGTTCCCAGGTGTTCAGTAACCCTTCAGTATTGTTAGGAGCTACTGCGCTGCTTTTGACTCGGGCCTCACGTGACCCAGTAGTACTGCCCCGCAGGGTCCTTTGTTCTTCACGAGCAGATTGCCGGCTGCTGGCTGTTCAACTACTAACTGACGTGACAGCTGAGCACGTAGCCGAGCACCACCACCAGGGCAGCTTCTCTAGCTGTTGATTTTCACTGTTGTCACTCTGAACTGATAAACATTTAAAGCTGGTCTCTGAATAAAAGCTCCAGTCCCTTGGCAGAAGCATGCCACGTACAGATACTATGTGGGTCATCTTGGCTTCTAGATGAAAACAAGCCCGCTTCAGAGGCCTGTCCCTGGTCAGTCACACTCTTACTGGAACGGAGTGTGCTCATTCAGCCTGATGGGAACTCCTGAGCCAAGCCTTGGCGCTCTCCCTCATTTGCTTACCAGACACTGAGCCACAATGAATCTGTTGAACCAAACCAACTGCACTTAGGTGTTGTGAAGGTTGAGTGAGGACATTTTGTAGGCTCTATAAATCAGTAGGAGTTTGAGCTGCATAACACCAATTGTCTTGAATTTTCCACAGTTGCACATTCGCTTTTGGCATACTTTGTCTAGGACATTACCGTAGAGCTATCTAGTGCTCTGCACACTGGATTCCTCCTCATGACATCGTTCCATGTGCAGCATTCATGCTTTTGTTCAATTTAGTTGAGTTACAGACACAAGAATATAAACCCTAAAACAAATCTTTAATATAAAAAATCACCGCAAAATGTACAAAATCTGCTAATAACAAGGTCAATAAGAGAGCTCTTGTTAAAAAAAAAGAGCTCTTGTTTCCAAATACAAAGAACAACCAGCTGATAAAATGATTATAACCATTTTAATCCTCTCCTATAATACTTGAAATTGCTATTAAGCAACTGACATTTTCGTTTGTTTTAATATTGCACAGTGGTATTAAGAATATAGTCCTTAAATCTTACCTGTCAGCAATCCTGATTTTAATACTGCACTGTCTTTACTTTCTTTATGGGCAGCTCTGATGATCCGCAGGCTCAGAAATACATCGCAGAAAGTAAATGCTTAGTGAGTATGGTTCTATGATTATTCTCCTGTTACACAGAATAATTGACAAGGTTGTGACATAATAACAATGGTTTGAAACTTTTCCTTTATTGAAACCACATATTTTTACAAAAATGATCCCTTATCTACCACCATTATAATGATTTATTTTGTAGGTCATTGAGAAAAAAGGGAAATTACGATACAAACTAGATATCGGAGAAGAAACAAAATTCGTTAACCCAGAAGATGTTGCCAGGCTGATATTCAGAAAAATGAAAGGTACTGAGCCCAAAGAGTTAATTTTGTGAAATTTAGGAAGTTGCCCTAAGTCTATAGAGACAGTAACTAGATGAATAGTGTATTAGGGTTATTATAGGAGGTTGGGAAGGGATAGCTAAAAACATTGAGTACAAAAATGAAGAAAATGTTCTTCAATTTGAGATTGTGATGATGACTACACAACTCCTTTTAATATATTCAAGCCACTGAATTGTATGGTACTTGAATTCTATGTCAGTAACACTTAAAAAAAATTGGTGGTCCAATAAGCCTGATAGAAAGTGTACATTCTACTCAGTTGATTTTGACTCACGACAACCTTTCATGTACAAAGTAGAGCCATAGGGTTTTCTGGTGACCTTTCAGAAGCAGATCACCATGTCGTTCTTCTGAGGGGCCTCTGGGCACCGTTCCTTGGCTAGGCAATTCACCATTTGTGCCACCCAGAAATCCCTAGTGAAGATTCTGCCCCATTCCTCAAGACTAACAGTGTGCTCTCAGAAACGATGCTAGACAGGTTCAGAGCTCCGATCAGTGGTTTTGTGCCAGGCTGCTGACTAAAAGACAGGTGGCTCAAATTCACTGACCATTCCTCGGCAGAAAATGTGGCGTTCTGCCTCCATAAGGATGACATATGCCCTGGAGGGGTTGCAGTGAGCTTGGTTAGCAATGGGCTTGGTTTGGGATTTTTTGTGTTTTTTAAATTTTGTCACTATTTCGGTGGATTTTTGGTGGGATTGTTTTCTTGGTGGTTTTTGGTTTTTATAGATGAAAAGTCTAAAGATAAGTAGTATTCTATGGGATATTTGAAATTCTGGAGTAGATGATTTTTAAGGCTCACTTCTGCTGTGGCACTTGGTTATGAACCTGTGGCATGGGAGGTGGCTCACCCCTTATGGAATCTAATTTAAGAGAAGGCTGGAACTGTGAACCATAAGGGTCATGCTCTATGGAAAGTACCTGGTTCCATGTCCACAGCTATCAACAAAACCACAAAGAGTAGTGCTTGCTTTAAGAGCAAGAGAAGAAAACAGACAGGGTGGAGCTGTCTGGCGAAGTGGAAGAAATTATTCTAGGGAGGAAATCTTGGGCACAAATTAATGACTCCAAAAGTATCATTTGACTTTTTGTCCTATCAAAATTTATTTTTCTATTTTTTAATATATAGAAACAGCACAGTCTGCCTTGGGCTCAGATGCAAATGATGTAGTTATTACTGTTCCATTTGATTTTGGAGAAAAGCAAAAAAATGCTCTTGGGTAAGTATGTAACATGGAGTATATCTACTTTGCTTACTTAAAGAAAATGTAACTTTTGTAGTGTCATGCAAAGGTAAAGGGTAATAAGATGTGGTGTACTTTGCTTTTTTAATTTACTAGGTTAAATGATGTTTATGAATATTATCTAAATTTTATGTAATTAGGGCTTATATGGAAATTACATAAGGCTATGAATTTAAAACTTTAAAAGTTCCATTTTAAGTAAGATTTGCCATTACTTTTTCTTAACAGTTTATTGGTACATAATTTGCATAACATACAATTCAATAGCTCAGTCGTTCAATCATATCAAGGAAACTTGCTATTACTTTTAATCCTAATTTTAGCATCAGAACTAAAAAATGAAATGTCATTTACTGATCTTTATTCAGATATAATCGCAGAGCCTTTGCTGGGTAGAATCCTACATGGACTTTGGCTAGCTTCAGAGTCTCTTTTGAAAACTGCAGCTCCAGATGAAAGAAATTGGAAAATTCATAATTCTATAAATTTCTTATAGTCTCTTTCTATAGAATGGGAATTTTTGAGAAACTTACTTTTCTTATTCAGCATAAGCTTATAGTTTCTTAAGCAAATAGGCTCCAAACATTATTATTGTAAATAAAGAAATGACCTATTCTCAGTGTGACATCCATTTCTTGTGTTCTGTTATCTTGCGTCCAAAGACCGTTGCACTTCTGTTCTGTTTATGGAAGTCTTATTTGCTATTGCATAAAACCCTTTACTAGAGCATTTCTAAAAATGTAGATTTGAACACTTGATAATAAACTCATTGAAAGCAAATTGTCCACAGGGAAGCAGCCAGCGCTGCTGGATTTAATGTTTTGCGATTAATTCATGAACCGTCTGCAGCTCTTCTTGCGTATGGACTTGGACAGGACTGCCCCACAGACAAAAGGTAAAGACCGTGCTGGATGCTGGAAGTATTTCAGTGCAGAAACCATGTTAGATTATGGTATTTGTATAAAAAGGGATTGCATGATAATGCAGTGGTTCCCAAACTGTATGCCTGCAAAAGCCATCAGGACCCTTCCTTAGAATTTTTCAAACAAACGAGAATGGGGAGCAAGCAGAGAAAGGGCATACTAAGAGAAGGTGGAGCTTTTCTGCCTTTTATTGCCTTCTTATTCGAGAAAGGTTTGAAGATGGTAGGCACTGCCACAACTAATTCAAGTTCATGTACTGTTAACTTTAGGACCAATTTCAGTCATTAGACATGTTTAGAAGTAGTAGTTACTCTTGTGTAACTTTGACTTGGCCAGTGAAGGGGAAATCCAGGATGGGGATTTGGGACTAGTTTTGGTGGTGAAATGGAAGACGTTCTTATTAGCTCTCTTTGAGTCAGCCCCTGACTCATGGCGACCTCACAAAGGGATTGGTCTGTCATGATCAGTAAGGTTTTCATTGGCTTTTTTTCCCCCCCAGAACTAGATCACCAAGCCTTTTTTCCTACCCCTTCTTAGTCTGGAAGTTTTGCTGAAACTTGTTTTGCGTATAACAATATGCAAGTTTCCACTACAGCTGGGTAGTGTCTGTTCTTGAGATTATATTAGCTGGGAATCAAACCTGTATCTACTGGGGGAAAGGCTTTTACCACTGAGCCACCTTACCCCTAATTGTCAAAACATGCCTTAATAGATGTGGTGCATTGTGCCATTTTACAGTCAGTCGGATTTTATGTTAATGTTCCTTCATTCTTTTACCCATTCATGAAATATGTGTAAATTACTAGGAAACGATTTTAGGTGAATTGAGTAATAGTTGTGAGTTTTACATGCATAGGAAATTGGGAATTGACTCCTAGTTCTGAATGTGCTGTCTAGCTACAAAATAGGGTGTTTTGTTTTGTTTTGTTTTTGGCGATAATAACTTGTAAAACAAAAGCATACATGATATGTAAGATTTTATATCCATTTCACTTATAATTCACTAGAATTACAAACTCAATCTTCATTTATCATTAAGTGAGATTTTCCGTTTCCTCATTTATAATTTGAAAGGATTAAACTGAATGAATTCTAAAATCTACTCTCACTTATGTATATTTTTCAAAACCATTTTATTGGTAGCTAATACAGATTTCATATCATTCCATAGTTCAATCACTTCAAGCACTGTTGTACAATTGCTACCACAATAAGTTTCAAAATGTTTTCTTTCTTCTTGTACTCCTTGTTGTCAGCTCCACTTTACTCCCCCTCCCCTACTGCACCCCCAAGAACCCTTATTCTACTTGTTGTCTCTGTATGCTCATCGGTCCTGGGTTTCACTACCATAAAACAGAAAAATTCAAGAGGGCTCCCCACAATGACAGAATACATCAGAGATAGGAAGCACACACACTGAAAATCAGATCAGGCCCAACTTGTGTGTTAGAGAGAGGGATCAAGTGACAATGTTTATCAGTTGTTAAAAGTTCATTTTATTGGGGGCTCTACAACTCTTACAACAGTCCATACATCAATTGTACATGTGTTGCCGTCATTCTTTTCTGGACATTTACTTTCTATTCAGCCCTTGGAATCAGCTCCCCCCCCCAACCTTGTGTCCCCTTGATCATTTATAAATTATTATTTTCATGTCTTATCATGGCCATTGTCACCCTTCCCCCATGATTTCTGTTGTTCATCCCCCTGTGTGTGTGTGGGGGTGTGGTTATGTGTCAGTCATTGCGATCAGATCCCCCTTCCTCCCCTCCTTTTCCCACCTTCCCCCAACCCTTCTGGTATTATTCCCATTCATGTTCCTGGATTCATGTGTCGTGAGCTCTTATCTCTCTTTTCTGTACCTCTGTACATACTCCGGTCTAGCTACAGTGAAAGGCAACAATGGGATCATGATAGTCGGGGATAAGGAAGCCTCAAGGAACTAGAAGAATATTGTGTGTCCCATCAGTGCCTCACTGTGCCCTAGTAGACTCGTCCCTTTCCTCTGACACACTGCGTTCTCAACAATATGGGTTTGTTTGTTTGTTATGGGTCTTCTGAGGCCTGTAACCCCGTCCCTTCGACATCTCATGATTACACAGGCTGGTGTGCTTCTTTCATGTGGGCCTGTTGCTTCCCTGCTAGGTGGCCGCTTGTTTAACTTCAAGCCTTTAAAACCCCAGGCACTGTATCTTTGATAGCTGGCCACCATCTGCTTTCTTCACCACATTTGCTTATGCACCCTTTTTGTCTTCAGTAATTGTGTCAGGAAGGTGAACATCACAGAATGCAAGTTTGTTAGGACAAAGTGTTCTTGCATTGAGGGAGGGTATGAGTAGAGGCTCGAAGTCTGTCCACTACCTCAGTGTACTGCCATATAAATATATGTACATAGGCCAATACCTCTATTTTTATGCAATAATGTATTTACATATGTACACACCTTTTCTTATACCTCTATCCATAGCTTTGCTTCATAGATTGTTCCTGTTTCCTTTTACCTTCTTACTGCCCCACCATCATGCTCACCCTACTTCCACCTCTTAGTAATCCCTCTCAGCTAGATTGCTGTTGCTCCAACACCTCCAGGATCTCTATGTCCTTCTTGTTGATCTTAATTTCCTGTTGTTCCCCTGTCAATGGCGTTGTTTGCTCACTGCTCCCTTCTCCTGCTGCCTCCTCCCCCCCAAGTCCTTCCAGGACTGTCGGTCCCGTTGCTTTCTCCTCGAGCTTGCTTCCCATGCCTATTTTATATAAGTAGGCAAACCAATAATAGCATGAAGAAAACAAAAGATTGGGGGTAAAAGGAAAAAACATACATAATTCCAGGTCTATCTGCTGTGGGGGTAATTCTGGGAGCTGCCCTTTTAGGGGCTTTGTGGCTTGGCTTTGCTCCTGTTGTTGATCTGTTATGTTCCCTTCTTGCTTCACCCCACTGTGGGAGATTCAGACTGGACTAACTACCCGTCGTGTGCCCCAGTATTGTCCTCTGTCACGGTACGCTCCAGTAAGGGGACAACATGTGAGCTGTTGTCAGCGGTTCCATCCTCTCTGTGCCTTAACAGCTCACGCAGGGATGTCATCCTCCAGGCTTGGTGTGCAGATACAGAGTCTAGACCGTCCCTTTCTCTTTTTCCTTCTTGGTTTGTTTCCGTGTGGGCGTGGCGTGCCAGCCCCTCTCCCCAACCTGCAGGTTTACTGTGGTTCTGTTACTCATACCTTTAAGGAGGGTGAGAGTTGTGCTCTGAGTAGGGCCGGCCCAGTAGCCCAATCTTTTCATGCATTTGTCCACGTGGTTATGTGGCCCACAAGGTTTGGGGCATTGTGGTGGGGTTTAACCATTCAAGTCAGGTTGATCATTTTGATCTTCAATACTCTGTTTGGCAACTAGTTTCTTCACATCCCTCTGTTATGGATAGAAGGAAATCACCAGAGACTTCTTTTCTATGTAGAGCTCATAAATGTATCTTGGCCTTTCACTGTCATCCATAGCCTTCTGCAAACCAGAATCTCACAATTTAGGCTCTGATGCTGTTCCCTCCGGCTTTGGATTATATGAGTTACAATCCTTGGGTCACAGATGTTAGTGTGCGTCTTCCACGTGCATGTAGTTGATCTCTCACTTAGATTCTACCCTCATTTTAAAATGTTGTGTTTCTCTGATGATCTCTTGCAGCAACATTTTGGTGTTCAAACTTGGAGGAACATCTTTATCTATCAGTATCATGGAGGTTAATAGCGGACTGTACCGTGTCCTCTCCACAAACACTGATGATAACATAGGTGGTGTGCATTTCACAGAGACCTTAGCCCAATACCTAGCATCTGAATTTCAAAGGTGAGTATTAATGGATTTGACAATGCATTTGAAGTGATGTTAATCTTCAGGGTCTATTTCTCCCCCTCGATTTATGATCAGTTGCTCTGCAGCACTGTGCCTGTATTTTCCCTTTAAGACAACTAGACATGTAATTGTGGGAGGTTGGAACCCAAGCTTTTTTTCTAAGTCTGCCTCTGCTGTTCTCATGTCTGGATAATGGAGGGTGCTGGCATTGAAAGGCTGCCTGCTAAGCAGATTTTTTAACATTTAAATCTGCTGCAAATTATGTTCTTGTCACATCCCAAAGCATTGGCTACAAAAAGAAATATTTTTATTTTGGTACTGGCTGTAATGATTTCATGTATAATTCTAATTCTGTGTGCACTGATGGGAGTCAAACATATAAAGCTTATATTTCAGAGATTGCTGTTTTAATAAAGAAAAACAATGTAGCTGAAAGTGGTGTTTGCACTAATTCTCTACTAGATTAATGTTAAAACCGGAAAACTTGGGGAAGTCATTTTTCGTTTGTTCAATGAAGGCCTGTGCTGGCTTTTGTTATAC